GCATACACATCAAGTTATGATAAGTTAAAGTCATAGTGAACATAAAATTCATTTTACATGTTCATCTTCAAAAATTCATAACTCAAGCTATACTTTGTCAAATCACTTAATTCTTGTTCTTACGTACTCCTCTTTTACATAAGAATTACTCATCTAAATCATACTTTTCCAGCTTATTCATATCTTTTGGAAAATCTCATGCAAATCAACATCTTATCACATCAAGTACATATATCATATAATTGATCTTTAACAACTTTAACTCTTTGTTATCAATTATAAACTTTAACTTCTAAATCATGATATACATACTCATAAACATGCAAACTTATCATCAAAGCATGAACTTAAGTATGAAATATTAAGACAAGTAAATTACCTCCTTCTAGGTAGAGTTAAAAACTTGCTTCTTAACTTCAAATTCCTCACTTCTTCACCATTTCTCCCACTTACACTCTCTTACAAACTTATATAACTCCTTGTAATTATCTTTGGTGTAAAAACTCTGAATTTTAAACCTCTATTTATAGGCACAAATTCAAGACATCAAGATTGAGTGAAGAAATGAACATAATAAAGAATTTAATCTTATAAACTTAATTAATCATAAACTATTATATGATTAACTTGTATACTTCACAAAAACATAATTAATCATCACCAATAGGCTCAGGTTGAGATCACAATCGGATTCTCAATAATCAGACCTTACTGTCGGTCACACGACTCGTGTGGCACCACACGACTCGTGTGCCTCTTCACACGACTCGTGTGAAAAAGCCGAGGCTAACTTTCATCAACTCTTCATCCCGCACGACTCGTGTGCCTTGTCACACGACTCGTGTGGCCTCACACGACTCGTGTGGCTCATTCCACACGACTTGTGTGGCTTGTTCCTTGAAAAACTCTTAATTTCGAACCGATAACTGGCTATCTTGGCCTCGAAATCACTTATTTCTTGGAACAATAACTGAAATATCATTCATAACTGAGAGGGATATTACATTTAGTGTGGGGGAGTTGTTTGTCTCATTTTTGTTACGTTTTTCCTTCTTATTTTTCATTTCTTTTTCCCCCGTTTTAGGTATTTTCGTTAGCTTTTATTCGTTTTGTAGTTTATTGTGCGTCTTGTTCTCGTTTGGTCTTTTTACGTTTTGTTTTTGGTATTTTTCCGATATTTCTCGTCTTTGGTGTCAGGATGGAAGGTTCAGGAAGATCTATTTTTCACGATAATAGGACCGGGAGAATGTAACTGAGTAAAGCGTCTCGTTGGCAATACACAGGAGAAGACGGAATCAAATTCCGAGTCCAAATGAGCTCGAACGGATCCAAGAAGCGAAGGCGAGCATGCCGTGCCAGGCCCTCGCGCCGTGATACCCTTCACGGGCCTTCAAACGGTGCCTCTCCCAGTGCCGCGCTGCGGAGCGCCCCGCGCCGTGCCAGCATCCTAGCCTCTCGCTGCGATGCACCTCGCGCCCAGCGCCACGGGCGAGCAGAAACCGCAACACTCCACACGCCACGCCGTGGCATTACCCCCGCGCCGCGAAGAACAGCTCTGCCGCGCCGTGCCGCTCCCGCCACGCCGTGAAGCATAACCCTGCCGCGCCCGCTAGCCCTTCCACGCCGCGCCAGTCGAGCCTTTCACGCCGTGCCTCAATATCTTGCGCCGTGTCATCCTGCCACTATATAAATTAGATCGGGACTTGGCCGAAGGAGGATATCCCTCATTCCAGAAACGACATAACCCTACCCCCTTCGTCTTTTGAACTCGTTTTTCATTCTCTTTTCATATTTTTGAACGTAGAACAAGGATTTGAACTTGAATTTTGCCATTGCTTTTGGATTCAAGCTTGTTATTCGAATTCAACTTCGGGATTTATCAATCGTAAGATTTTCTTTTAATTTATTCATTAAATATGAGTTCTTGGGTTGAGATTTCTTGTGTTGATTATTTGATTATGAATAGCTAAATTCATATGCTAGGGATAGGGGATTGATGTTTTGATATCATTTGTGATTGTCGGGCTCAGGATTGTTCAATTTCATACGAGTTGATCTTTTTCTAGGGTTTTTCAATTGTCGGGCTCGAGTATTTAGAATTGTTGAAGGGTGACACTTCAATCACCAATTGTTTGCAATTGAGTTCGATATATTCTTGTTTGATGTTGGTTATTCTAAACGGACTAGTTGATTAAACACCTTCTAGTCTACTTTAATCGACTCTTAGAACCGAAAGGGGAGGAGTCGGTCGAAATAGGCTCGTATGAACTAGGCTTGTTCATAACTGTATTGCCTAGGAGTTAAATGAATTGTTAATTTTCCGTTCTAGTTTGTTCTCTTGTTACGAAAAGTTATTGAGAATGAGTGCTTGAACGTGTCGATTAGTCAAATCACTTAACCGAACAATCTCTCGCTTGACAATTGCATTTTCGAACCAAAACGGATATCCCCGACTCCCTAGCTCCTTAAATCCTACTTGTTCTTCGTTGTTGCTTGCTATTTCTATTTGCTTTATTTGAAGTTTTTCTTCGTAGTTAATAATCAAACCAAATCATCTGAATTAGAATGTTTAGGAATTTTTATTTTCTTTTGTGTGGTTGAATAAACGTGCATAATAATCCGGCTAACCTTCCTCGAGAGACACTACCCGGTGTTCGAATCTTTTGATTCTACTCCGGAAACAATATTTACAACATGGCGTCTCTTCCGAATCGCCCTCACTATCGGGTGAGCCCAGCGGAGCATGAGGAGTTACGTAGACAGGTCAAGGAGCTTCTTCAGCGTGGGGCAGTACGTCGTAGTATGAGTCCTTGTGCAGTTCCCGCCCTATTAATCCCAAAGAAAGACGATTCATGGCGTATGTGTGTTGACAGTAGGGCCATCAATAAGATCACGGTTCGTTACCGTTTTCCGATCCCTCAGTTGGATGATTTGTTGGACCAGCTTTATGGTGCCACCATTTTCACCAAGATGGATCTTCGTAGTGGTTATCATCAGATTCGGATCCGGCCAGGGGACGAGTGGAAGACAACATTCAAGATTCGCGAGGGATTATTCGAGTGGATGGTGATGCCATTCGGTCTTTCCAATGCTGCGAGCACTTTTAAACGAGTGATGAACCAGGCGCTTCGGGATTTTATTGGCAAGAGTGTCGTCGTTTATTTCGACGATATTCTTATTTACAGTCGGACACTGGATGAGCATTTGCAGCATGTTCGTGAGGTACTCATTGTTTTACGTGCTGAGTATTTTTTTATTGCCCCTCGTAAATGTGTCTTTTTGGTGGATTCTGTTTTATTTCTGGGTTTTGTGATATCGGCCGAAGGGATTCGTGTGGACGAGGGTAAGGTGACGGCGATTCGGGAGTGGCCGACTCCGTCGTCCTCCACGGAGGCTCGCAGTTTTCACGGCCTAGCCACTTTCTACCGCCGCTTTATTTCACATTTCAGCACTATTACGGCTTCGATCACGTATTGTCTACACGGGAAGTCTTTTGTCTGGACCCCAGAGGCTGAGTCTGCATTCATTTTGATCAAGGACAAGTTGACAACTGACCGCGCGTCGCAACGCAGCAAAATTAAAATTTATATTTTCCTTAACTAACCTCTACCAACTAGCAGTAGTGGCGAGCAAGGGTCGATCCCACGAGGAGTGTGAATCAAATTGTAAATTTTCTTGTAATAACTGAAATTATAAAAAGCGATAAATGGGGGGTTTTGATTTAATAAGTAAACTGACCAAAATAAATAAAATCTAAACAAATAAAAAAAATAAATATATTAAGAGAAAGCTTCTAGTTCTCGGTTCCATCTACACCCTCGACCGACTCGTCTAATCAACTTTGGTATCAAATCTCGCTATCTCATGGAATTACTAGCCCTAAGCAACGACACGGTTTGTTAAAAATTTTTCCTTAATTTTAATTTAATCGTGAGACGCTCTACGATTAAACCTGACTTCTTGTACAGTCCAGAAAAACATTTTCAAGATTTAATACAATCAGCTGCTTTACGAATTAGAAAAATAGGCAAGACTAAGTAGTGAACTCAACCGTGTTCGCTCACTTAAATAGGCCGTGTTACCCCCGGTAGTTACCGTCTTCCGGTAGTCTCTAATGAATTAAATACAACAACAATTACGGATTGAAGGTCTAATTCAGCTATAGATATGAAAAGCTAATCTAGGTGATCAATCTAAATAAGATTCAACACATCATGGTTAATTATTCAAAATAACACAAGCAATTCCGAAAAGATATTGAAATCATCAACCATATAAATCAATCAAACATTGTCAATCGTAGGGTTCGACTTCCCCGGAACTAGAAAGAAAATCTACTCTAACATAATAAATAATAAAAGAAAAAGAATAAGAATATCCCCTTTCGTATGCGAGTGCGGCCTCCCTCCGCGATTGATCGTGCTCCTCATACTTTTCCTCTGTCTGCGTCTTATTCTCGTATGCCTGGGGCTGCGTATCTCTGTTTATTCAATAATAATGGGTGGCTGCGTGGGTGTTAAGATTTATTTCCCCCAGGTATGCATTTTTTTCCTAAATAAAAGAGGAATTTGCACCCCATACCATCATATTTTATTTATATAACATTTTTACAATCATATTAGTTTTATTTATAATCCTACTAATTCATCCTCAAAATATTGCAAGAATACCAGATCTGGGATGTACACAACTCAACCGTTATAAAGAAATCTTTTGGGCAAATTAAATGTGATTAGATAATTAAATGAGATTTAGATATACACTTACCAAAACAAAAAGAAATCCTCACGTTCCCATATTCATAATTATTATCCTTATCCAATCCTCCTCCTTCATCATCCATTAACAATGAGTTTCACAAATTTTTCCTGCAACCAAACAAATCTCTCTCTCGAATATTCGCATCCCAGGAAATTCACTCCATGCCCGTCCGAATAGATCAAAGGGTTTAGCACAATATCTCCTCAAATCCTTCCTTTTTCCCAACAAATATCTATTCAATGGCGCTTTTAGTTCCGTCACCGGAGATTTTATCTCTCGTCGGCGCCGGAAGTCCGGCAAGAATCTATCTCCGTAAAAGGAAAATTGAAATTAGGGTTAGTAAGAAGAGAAAAGCAGAGACAGTGAGGCCTATGGTTAGACCGACATGGTTGTCGTTGACGTCGTTGAACTCGAAGTTCGGGACGGTGTCTAACTCGATGGCGAACACGTGGTTGGAGGCGTTGCCGACGATTGTGGAGTTGAAGAGACCGAGGTACTCCCAGCCAGAGGGGAGGTCGCTTGATGGAGAAATATACTGCAAATATACTGAAACGGAAATCATTGAATTCGAAAGTTAAAATCTGAAGGAGGAGAAAAAAAAAATTAAAACTAGGAATATAATGTTAATAAAAACGTGAAAGATATACTATCAATAAAACGTGAAATATATCTTTTTAAACTAGAAATATACTGTTAATAAATTAAAAATAAATTAGAAATATTTATGATTGACCCGTCTCGTTTTTTTTTTCTTTATAAAATTTCACGTCCTTGTTTTTGGTATTCATTTCTTGGTTGACAAATAATTTGGTGTTGTTTTGGCCATGACTGAATCCGTTTTGACGAAAAACTTCTCAGAGGATAATTGTCGAACACTTGGTGTGCTTGAATAGTTGATAGTTAGTTCTATTCTGTAAATGTTGCGAGTATATACAGTATATTTTCAGTATATGTTTCGAGGTATGAAAATTTATATGTTTTTGGGTATGAAGATTTTGTACATGATTTTATATGTCACCTCAGATATGAAAATTTACATGTTGCGGGTATATGCTGCGAGTATATACAGTATATACCAAAGTTGTACAAATATACATAATATATACATGAAATATACATTCGACATTCTCGTAATTCAAGCCAGTGACAGATCGGGACACACATATATATAAAATATACTTTAATTATACACTCGAGTTTTAATCGTTTCTCAAAATCGATTTCAGAACCCACATATACATAAAATATACCTAAAATATACACTCGATCCCTGAACTGCGGATCTCGTTCAGAACTCACATATACATAAAATATACTAAAATATACACTTCGGCCGGCTTGCGACGCCGTAGTTTCGGATGAGGGTGATGAACATATTCTCGCCGCATTTAATCCCTAAAATGCGGATCTCGTTCAGTAAGGGGGTCACTGGCTTGAACGCGCGCAAGCAGGAGAGCTTGTAGACGAGGATGGAACTGAGGATGGAAAAGTGGTATTGTCCGATGTGAATGGTAACTAAAATGGATGCAATTTTTGTTGGGTTCGATAGTACCGTACGGGCTTTAAGCAGCGGAATTTAAAATTTTTCAAAGTAAGTATTTATCAAATAAATACAACACCCGTACATACTAATTGCGAATTAACTAATCGTCATCTTTAAAACATGCATCATATACAAATTTTGATTTGTTACTATAAAGTAAATACTAGTAAAATATTTACCGAATGTCTTGAACTCCTTCACTATTGATGATGGATGAGGGAATCGGTTCCCGGTTGTAACTTCAACGACTTGAGGTTACTCGCTAGAGGAATCCAGGTGTCTTCCCTCTAAACGTATCCACCCTATGAAGCCCGGTTCCGACGACTTTCCTTCGCTAGTAGAAAAGACTCGGTTTTCTTGTATAGGAATATTTATGAATTTTATTTGGGAATTTTAAGAACTCTTTCTTGAAGTTTTATGAAGAACACTTTCTTCTCTTTCTAACACTTAGAAATTTAGGATCAAAACCTCTCTTAAATGCAAAACCATTTTGCACATATTTATACTAAACATTTTAGCATAAAATAATCAACATTTAGTAATATTTAAATAAAATCAAATTTTATTTAAATAGTATTTACTAACTTTTGACTTTGAAAATAATAAGATATGTTAAGTAGTTCAAACAACCATCAACAACCATTTTATTATAATCATATTTATTATTTTAATCCTTAAATCATATTTAAAGATATAAATAATAATTGGATAATAAATCTTGAGAATCTTTCTCAAGACTTTATTATTATATCATTTTCCCAATATTATAATAATCATATTATTATTATTTTGGATTTTGAAATTTAAAATCCTATTTTAAAATTCAACTTTATTAATTTAGTAATTACCTTAATTACTAAAGTAATATCCAAAATGTAATTAATCAATCTTATTGATTAATATATTCCTTTAATTGATATCTAATCAAATTAGATATTTATCAATTAATTCTAACCATTAGAAATACAATCTTTACCTTTGTTCATAATTAGTGTGACCTTTTAGGTTCACCTTAATACTAGTAGTGGGTTTACAACACTTTGTAATTTGAGTTAAATCTTATTAACTCTTATTCATGAATTAACCCTTTAATTTATGAACCCACATATCATGGTAACACCTAGCAAGTAGCATGAATCTAGTATTAAGTGAATAGCGAGTAAACCTATTCCGATTACAACTCCATACATGTAAAATCCTTTCGACATCTAATTTCCCGATTAAGTCTTGGGTATGATTTTGTCGAAACCCAAATTGACTTAATAACTATGATTCTATTTCATGTTTATTAACCCGGTTATGAATCACTATTCATCTCTGCCTTGGCCAAGGACTTTGGATTAATAACTATGAAACACATAGGAAATTCACTTATCTTCATAAGTGTCGAATCCTTTATTGGCCACTAACAAACTTCCATACATATTAACATAATACCCAACTTATCCCTTTAAACGATAGTGCTAGCTACCAAAAGGATAAATCAAAGTAGAATGTAATATGCACAAAGTTACCATTGTGCCTCAAGTCTTAGGATTAGTCATGTACTATTGTAACATGAAAATTCTTATTCGACTGAATAAATTCTTCATTAAGAATTTTCATACGGTCATGTTCAGTGAACTTGTTCTCTAACAAGCACCCACATAAATGTACTTACGTCTTACGCTAATGTTGATGGAATGCAACATTCTTGTCCAACAAGCATACAAACTATGTGCAAGTCTTTTATGGATTATTCGATATCCCATCTCGAAACATCCATCGACTTGGAACTGTATTTAAGATCACGGCTTTCAAGGTATGTTCCATGATCACCATCTCTATGCGCAACCATACCTTATAACCATAAGTGATCTAGGGATTTTATCTTAAGTGCAATTATAAGATAAATGCTTTCTCTTAAGATAAAGAAATGCCTTATTCATAATATAATTCCAATAGACTGTATTTACAAGTAGAATACGTCCAATTAGATTGGAACGCCGGGTACCCTACTCTAACAATCTCCCACTTGCCCTAGTTCCAATCACTCATGTATCTAAGACCCATCTTCTCAAGATGTCCTTCGAACACTTTCTGTGATAAGGGTTTAGTTAAGGGGTCTGCTATATTTTCTGCTGAGTCGACTCGCTCCATCACGACATCGCCTCTACCAATGATTTCTCTAATCAAATGGTATCGCCTCATAATGTGTTTGGATTTTTGATGAGATCTTGGCTCCTTTGCTTGCGCAATAGCCCCATTGTTATCACAATAAATCATTATTGGATCAACAACGGATGGTACTACACCCAACCCTTGGATAAAGTTCCTTATCCAAACAGCTTCTTTTGCAGCATCAGATGCAGCAATATATTCAGCCTCTGTCGTAGAGTCAGCAATTGTTTCTTGTTTGGAACTTTTCCAACTAACTGCTGCTCCATTCAGAGTAAATAAGTATCCAGACATGGATTTATAGTCGTCTTTATCGGACTGAAAACCAGAATCAGTAAAGCCTTCTAGTTTCAGTTCTCCATTGCCGTATACCATAAAGATATCCTTAGTCCTTCGTAAGTACTTAAGAATCATCTTAACGGCTTTCCAGTGTTCTTCACCTGGATTAGACTGATATCTGCTCGTTACACTAAGTGCATGAGCCACATCAGGTCTTGTACATAACATTGCATACATAATGCTACCAATAGCTGATGCATAAGGTATATGACTCATCCGTTCTCTTTCTTCAGGTGTCTTTGGAGACATCGTCTTAGAAAGAGAAATCCCATGACTCATTGGAATATATCCTCGTTTGGATTCTTCCATGCTAAACCGTTGTAGCACCTTATTTATGTACGTCGACTGGGATAGTCCGATCATCCGTTTAAATCTATCCCTATAGATTTTTATCCCTAGGATAAAGGATGCTTCTCCCAAGTCTTTCATGGAAAACTGTTTTGACAACCATGTCCTAGTTGACTGCAACATCCCTACATCATTCCCAATGAGTAGGATGTCATCAACATATAGAACAACAAATGTAACTGCACTCCCACTAACCTTCTTATAAACACATGGTTCATCCGGATTCTTATGAAAATCAAACGTTTTGATCGTTTCATCAAACCGAATATTCCAACTCCTCGAAGCTTGTTTAAGTCCATAAATAGACCTTTGAAGTTTACAAACCATTTGTTCACTCCCATTGGATATGAAACCTTGCGGTTGTTTCATATAAATGTCTTCCTTAATATTTCCATTAAGAAAAGCAGTTTTCACATCCATTTGCCATATCTCGTAGTCATAATACGCAGCTATGGCTAGCAATATCCGAATAGATTTAAGCATTGCTACTGGTGAAAAAGTTTCCTCATAATCAACACCTTGTTTTTGAGTATAACCTTTAGCAACCAGTCTTGCTTTAAAAGTATTTACTTCTCCATCTACACCACGTTTTCGCTTGTAAACCCATTTACAACCTATGGGTACAATACCCTGTGGTGGATCAACCAAAGTCCATACTTTGTTTGAATACATGGAATCTATTTCGGATTGCATAGCTTCTTGCCATTTATCTGAGTCAATGTCCAACATTGCCTCATCATAGCTTATTGGATCATTATCCAAAAGGAATCCCTCTTCATTGTCTTTTGACAATAGGTATAGCCTTTCAGGCGCCCTAGAAACCCTTTCGGATCTCCGAAGAGGTTGTGTTTTAGATGGTCCAGTCTCTACTGGTATGTTTTCCGTGGTACTTAGTGGAATTTGTGGTTGTTCTTCATTAAGTTCTATGACTCCGCTATTCTTTGAGATAAAATCTTTCTCTAAGAATACAGCATTCCTCGAAACAAACACCTTTTGTTCAGAGGGATCATAGAAATAGTATCCAATAGACTCTCTAGGATACCCCACAAATTTACATAAGATGGATCTCATATCCAACTTACCTCCCACTAACTGCTTTACATAAGCAGTACAACCCCATACTCGTAAATATTTGTATGAGGGTGATTTACCACACCATATCTCATAAGGTGTGCTGGGTACAGCTTTACT